CCCGGAATAAGTCCCCAAACAAGTTTGCTATCCTTATCTCGAAACTTTCTCCTCCACGCCTTTAACGTGTCCTTCATATGCCTCGGCAACACCCAATCCATATGTTGCAACGTCAAAATATCGTTCCACAATAGACGCACAACAGCACAATGAAGGAATAAGTGGTCAACTGTCTCCCCATCCCTCTTACTCATGTAACACCACTCTGTAACATAGAAACCTCTAGATCGAAGGTTATCTACCGTTAACACCTGTCCTCTGACCACCGTCCAAAGTAAAAATGCCACTCGAGGGGGCAGTTTACATTTCCAAACCATCTTCCAGGGGAATGAGTTCTGAGCAGGTCCCATCAAGGATCTAAAATAAGTGCGAACTAAAAAAAATCCATCACGTGTCAACCTCCACCTACTACAATCACCCTCTCCTGCCCTGATATGAACCTCGTATAAGGTTGTCAAAAACAACGCAAAATCATCCAATTCCCAGTCCTGCAAACCCCGGCAAAAAACAATGTTCCAACTGGGACTTCCATCATGAAAATCTAAAACATCGTTCACCTTGGCAGACGGCTCCATCGCAATGCAATACAACGAGGGAAATCCCAGTTTAAGCGGTTGATCTCCGCACCAGCAATCATCCCAAAAACTGATGGTATTACCAGTCCCCACAACAAAAGTCAATCTATCCCGAAATTCACTCTACCCTCGCCGAATATACCGCCACAAACTCACCCTATAAGAACCCCGTCTCTCACCTGAGCACCAACCCCCTTCCTCTCCACTCCAAACCGTCATAACCACTTACCCAACAATGCCTTGTTGAGTAGTACATACGAGACTTCTTATTCCAAGACCACCGAATCTAATAGGGGAACGAACAACCCGCCAGTTAATCAAATGTAATCTCCTCTCCTTCCCTAACCTCCCCAAAGAAACTCCCTTTGGAGCCTCTCCAATCTTTTAGCCACAACAACAGAAATAGAAAATAATGACATGAAATAAGTAGGGAGATTCGACAAAGTGGACTTAATGAGCTTAAGACGGCCCCTTTCAGAGAGGTACTTATGCTTCCAACCCGCTAGCCTTCGCTTCACCCTTTCCACGATACTATTCCAAATCTGAATGCTTTTAAACCGTACTCCTAAAGGAAGCCCAAGATATGTCATAGGCAAATGCGCCACCCTGCAACCCAAAATATCAGCCAACTTGTCCACGTTATCAACCTCTCCAACTGTGATAGCCTCAGATTTTCCCAAATTAATTTTCAATCCAGAAACAGCTTCAAATCATAGAAGTAAGCGACGCAAGTTCCTGAATTGCTCAACATCTGCATCACAGAAAATCAATGTATCATCTGCAAATAGCAAATGAGAAACCTGCATGTACTCAACAATAAAACCATTTAATAAACTTTGCCCCATAGCCTTCTCAAGCATCCTACTGAAAGCTTCCATAACAATGATAAACAGCAGTGGAGACAGAGGATCCCCTTGCCTCAATCCTCTACTACTACGAAAAAAACCATCCGGATTGCCATTCACCATGACAGAGAAAGAGACCGTAGAGATGCAAAGCCACATCACCTGAGTATATACAAAACAAAATCCCAGTTAACGTGATCATAAGCCTTCTGAATGTCGAGCTTACATAACATTTCTGGAACCCTTAGTCGCAATCTGGAATCAATGCATTCATTTGCTATAAGTACGGAGTCCAAAATCTGGTGTCCTTTAACGAAGGCATTTTGAAAATTAGATACTACTTTACCCAGCACCTCCTTTAATCTATTTGCCAAGATCTTCGCAATAATTTTGTAAACCCCACTCACTAAACTAATAGTACGGAAGTCCTTAATATCTGTCGCGCCCGGTTTCTTAGGAATAAGCACAATAAATGTAGCATTAGCGCTTCTTAAGAATCTACCACGCTCAAAGAAGTAAGGACATCAACAATGTCAGATCGTACCACCTCCCAACAAGCTTTATAGAATGAGAAAGAAAAGCCATCAGGTCCTGGGGCCTTATCGTCATTCATGCTGAACACTACCTCCCTAATTTCATCCTCCCAAAATGGTCTCTCTAACCAATTCACATTGTCCTCATTAATAGTAGAGAAGTCAATCCCGTCCAACTTAGGCCTCCAATCCAATTGCTCATGATAAAGAGTCTGATAAAATCTTACCATATTAGTCTCGATATCCTGTGGATCTTCATACGTAACCCCATCAACCTCCAACATTGTGATGAAATTGTTGCGCCTGTTGGAATTAGCTACCTTATGGAAAAATTGAGTGCACCTGTCCCCCTCTTTCAGCCACTTAACCCTAGATTTTTTACGCCAAACAATCTCCTCCATTTCCACCAACTTTTCCAACTCATCCCTTAATTCTTCATGTCTCGCCCTGTCCTCCCCTACTAATTCTCGACTTTCCTCCCTTCTATCCAACTCTTCTATATCTGATAGACATTGATTTTTGCGATAGCAAACATCTCCCACCGCCTCCTCACTCCATCTCTTAAGATCGTTTTTCAATGCCTTCAATTTCCGATCTAACACATAACTAGGAGAACCCCTAAAGTCATATGATGCCCGCCAATTCCGAACCCGTTCTCCAAAACCCTCAACTTTTAACCACATCCTCTCGAACCTAAAAGGCTTTCTTCCACTTTGCCTTGCAACCCCAGATAACGAAATGGGAAAATGATAAGAATACAGCCTCCCCAATCTCCCCTGCGTGACATCTGGGTACTTGGCCTCCTACTCCCCACATACCAAGAACCGATCTATCTGGAAAAGGATAGGTTGGTCTCGGTTAGATGACCAAGTAAAATCTCCCCCCCTCAGAGGCAAGTCCACCAACATGTTCTCTCTGATGAAATCTGAATAGTCCTCCATAACCCCTGTAACTCCCCCCCACTAGACCTCTCTGTAGGAAATCGGACCACATTGAAATCTCCTCCAATACACGTTGGGAGGTTCCACCAATTCATCATCCCAGTCAATTAATCCCACAATCCACTGCTACTTTCATCTATATTAGGCTCATAAACTCCTATAAATATCCAACGAAAGCTATCCCCAATGTTTCTAAATGAAAGCGATAGGGAAAATAGCCATTTGCTAACCTCCTCCATATCAAAAACTCTAGTGTCCCACATCACTAGCACTCCTCGTGACACCCCGGACTATCCTGTATACTGATACCCCACATGC